TATAAGTATACAAAGTGTAACAGATTGTTTGGTTAAATTCAAAATAGCCTATTTGTGAATCTGATTATAAGAACAATTTTGATGGTAAAAATATTTATCTAAGTCAAATAGCTTATTTTTTTAGCATTTTTTTAAAATTCAATATTTTTTTGGTTAAATTAATTTGGAAGGTACGTAATAACTTCTTTAAAAACGTGATTTTTGAAAATTTGCAAACATGAGTATATTTCTAAGTTATTTACTTATCATATAATATTAACAATCTTTGTCATACGTTTAATTAAGGTAAATTAAATAGTTTAATTACCCCCCCATTGAACATCATGTATAACCACCATCGCCACTGCTAGTACCATACATAATTTATTTAACATAAGTTTAATAACGCGGTGCGTAAAACGGTATAAAATGTACTTATCTTTTGTCCTATTGATGATGCGTTAACGTTACCGTCCTAGGAAAAGAAAATACGAATCAACACTGATCGTGGTTTTCGCRGGGATCTTTTAAAACGGAAAACGAATCAGCAAGCGGGCTTACAGGATCGCAGTATTGGTCTCGTTTCCACTTCATCGTTACAGACAATTATTTTTTTCAATACTTGTTTTAATATACTTACACAAGATTTCAAGATTTTCTTTTTTTGGGTCAGCTATAAGTGTGTGGATTTCACGTAAGTTTATCGTTTTAAAATCCCATTTAAGAATTGAACAAAAACAGTACGCCGTATAATTGGTATAATTATGGCATATTAACGGGGTTATTTAAGTGCATATTGCATATATCTGTTATACAGTATATCAATACTACTATTAAAATAATTATGGCTATATTATCATTTTAAGCCAATTACTTTTATCATTTTTATTACTGCTTCTCATCTACGCGTGTCCAATGTTAAAAACTAAAAAAAAATATTGAAATTGTCTGCCTAAACTGCAAAATATCATTAGGCAGTATATAGGAGATTAATATCTTTTTTTATTAGTAATAAACACTACACAGTATAATATTGTATATTTTATAATTCATATTTCTATGAATATGGTTTTGCAATTTTATAACTAATTCCATTTTTAAACTTACAATTCAAATCAATTATTAGTGATATATCCTTACAAGTGAATGTGAACAAAGTAATGAAACCCTTTTAGTGCTTTATGGTTACGTGTAGGCTTATATGATAATAAATAGTGCATTTATATTATGATAACCATTATTAACTGTTTTGTAATAAGAATTTTGTATGGATTTGTTTAATCAAATATTGTTTAACATAGCAAATATCAATAGTAACAAATAGAGTTAAAAGTCATAATAATGACTGGTCGCAAAAGTGTTAACTATGTATTAATGACAATAATAACTATCTAGCTAGATTTTGATAAACATAATTGATTTCGTTTTTACAAAAACTTAATTTTTCATAATCATTAGTTCAAATGATTTTAAGACATAATATATAAATGTTTAAGTATATATCTTCCACATTTCATAATTTTTTTAATTTTTTTTTTTATTTATACAAGTAATATACAATCTATATATAATTATACAATAAGAATATATGCTAAGATTACATAATTGACAGGAACATTATTATGATGACACTTCCTATGATTACTCGATTATAATATTTAACTAGGTATTATTTTTTATATATATATATATATATAGGTATAACAAATCACGACACCATTTGCGCACATTTCATAATTTAAAAATAAAATATTTGAAAATATATCGTATATTATCCTACGTAAGATTAATTATAATTWAAAAATTAAACAGATTTAATTTTTAAAAAAAACTTCTTCCTYTGTATAATTTAAATTGAGAATTATTATAAAGTACCTAGTCAATTTTAGATTTAGTTATCTAAAGTTAGTTAATATTTTTAATTTAGTTTAGTTGTATGTTTAATGCTTGACAGTTAAAAAATAAAATTTATTTGTACAATAAAAAAACTACTGTGCTTGTGCGTAATTTTAACTATTAGCTATAATTAGTACTTTTACTATTATACACAATGATACTAACTAAATGGAGACAATTAATTAATTTAATGACTATAATAATTTAAACACATATATGTAATAAACCTCACTATTTTTATGTTTATATTATTTTAATTTGAATGATATACATTTTTATTTTTATTTTTATTTTTTTTTATTAATAAAAAAACAAATATATTTACAATCTGTACTCAACTGATACAATAAGTTTATTTTAGAATATTATATACAAGGCATTTTTTTGTGATAGAAGGTTAATTCAGTGACACTACTTCAATACTAATTCTTTATTTTTGTTTTAATTTATTATTATTATTCTTTTTTTCTTTTGATTTGGCTAATTATATAAGTAAATTACGTGACCTGTAATTACATTTTAAGCGGTGAGGAGAATTTCTGAGAATGTTGGTAGAGGAAAGATTAGAAATTGGGGGTCAGGGTGATTGAGAGTGTGCGCGTGGAAGTTAGAATAATAAATGCTTGCGAGAGAGTTGGCGTATAGTGCAGATGTTAAGGTTGTTATGAAAAGTAAGATCACTGACATACCACGGAGCTTTAGTTATATCCTAAGATTAACTTACTGAAAAACTTGAAATATATTAAGGTTGGAGTTTTTGGCCATAAGTCATAGCCGTGTGAATAATTTGTTTATATATTAGTAATTTGTTGGAGAGTGAGATGTTGGATCTTAGAAAATGTCTAACTTTATGTAGTTTGAGGTTTAAAGATTTTCTCTTAAATTTTATGTGTGTCACTCAGGTTAGCCATTTATCGAGATGAACACCTAAATATTTGACTGAGTTTACCTTACGAATTCGTTATACGTGTATTATAGGTAATAATATTAAACAGGTAATATAATCATACACAATTTTTAAGACATAAATGTTCAATAACCTACCGTGTTTACTATATTATAATTACACTTAAGAAGTATTTTCTACTTGACTAGGTAATAAATTTACATTTCATCTACAAATGAATTTGCACAAAAAAAAATTAATTATCGACAAGAAAATTTATTATTTCATGTATTTATATATACCAAACACGTCAAAATTCCGGATYATTTTTACAATATTTGTATATCATTGGTGCAATTTTATAAATTATATTATTGTATTATAATAAAATATATATGACTTTTATAGTGTAGACAGTGTAGTTAGTGGGTGGATTGTATTACATTGAAAATAGTTTTCTTATTRCATACGTCACTCAAAATCAAATAACAYGTGAATCTGAATGTTTTGAAACGACAGCGCGTATATACCTATTATAAATGTATTATACCGCAACTTTGACGAGGGAAATCCGTACAATACCATACCAATACGTATACAATACCAGTGTAAATGTGCTGGTGCATGTGTCGAGAAAAGGGGCGGTGGCGGAAACCCTGTGGTGGCCTGTTGCGTTTGGTAGTGTACTGCAACTACTACTGGTGAACACAGTATCGTGGTAACCCTATTTTGTTGTCTGCACCAGACTGCACCTATATATATATATATATATATATATATATGTGTAAAACATGAACTGTGAGGATACTGTTTTATACGGGGGGAGGTTAAAACAAAAGGGAGACAACAAGTGGGTCAAATCGTTTAAGCCAAAACCGCCACCACCCTTCCTAACCTAACGCTAATCTAACAACGTATATATAGACCATATAATATGTATATTATTTAAACAACCCTCGTTTTGTTTTTAAACCCATTCTTGTTATTTCTCATCTTAACGGCGTGATTTAGATGCAATTTGTCTACTTTTAGTAATATATACGTGTTTCTGCATGTTGCACAAAATAATAACAAATCAAGGAATTATCTATTTCTTTTACTTAAAAAAAAAAAAAATAGTATTTACGGAGAAGACGTTGATATTACGTAAAGTGTATATAGGCACAACGATAATATTTTGTTTACTGTACACATAGTTTTAATTCTTGATATATTTCATAATAGTAACAATATAATACTGACTAGGTATAAAATAAAATCGGTCTGATTTAAGTATTAAGTCTACGATGATTTTTAAAGACGTCAATGTGTAATAGCTTTTTTTTCACAAAGATAACAGTAATATAATTATATGTTTATTCAAAATATATAAATTGTCCTTATTATTTGATTTTATTTTAACTTCCTATAGGTACTATAAAACAGCTGATATATAGTCAATGCAACTTGTAAGCAGACGAGTTAATTAAATATTTCATATAATTTGAATAATATTATWCTCCATTTACTCATCCTACTGAATATCTATTGATTAATCAAAACCGTTTTTGTATTTAAGTCGGATCCAGTTTATTGAGAATATAAATACACATTAGGTATACATTAGGTATACATAATGTTTAATATAATACGTATTCTGCATCCGTCGCCCGTTGCCACTGTATCACGATGTTGATGATGTTTTTTTTCACAACTCTATTTTACAACGATTTGCATCCACAATGTGCATTAATATTGAAACGCCGACAAACGAAACAAATCTAACATATTATACGTACACTGTACATACCTGAAAGATAACTATACGTTACTACTTATATATATTATTTAAATCTGAGACACAGCATTATGCATCTTTTTATTTATTCGTTCCAGTCGACAATATTTTAATTAAGCTTATTATTCATCGAGGAATTCTCGAACCCTGCCAATTCTCTCTGGTCATATACATAATATATTATAAGCACACATAAATGTTCCCAACTTGTTCGTAATAAAATAATTATCTGTCACCTGGTGGTGGCGTTTGTGAAATGTGACATCGAAAAAGCCATACGTTTTCAATTATTATTCCCAACGGTTGTAATAAAATATTCCGTTTCTACTTTCTATTCTATCCGCCACCGCTGTTAATGATAGAAATTATTAGTTATTATATTATCTATTTAAAAAAAACATAAAAATACATAAACAAACAACGTGTAATTGATTTTAATGTTTGAATTTTGGTGTTTTGCAGATCATTACCCAAGGACGATGATGTCGTCGCTAAACAACGGAATAACGAGACAAAAGCATCATGTGAGTGTTTTCTTACAAAATATGTTTAGGTACTTTATTCTACATTTTCTAACTTATATACTAAAGTTATAAAGTATAATGATATAATAATTATCGTATTTTTTCCGAATTAAATTCGCTATATTATTGTTGTGCTCGACGCGTAAAACAATAATACAACCGGTTTATTGTGAACCAAAACGATTGCCGTCYGACGGCGAATTGTATAGACTCTACTTGGCACACAGCTGTTGCACAACTGTATGACAACATAACATTCAAGGCGTTTTCCTTTTAATTTAATTCGGCCCGCTACATGGACTAATAATAAAAACGTTTAAATATCGTAGGCATATACATATACTTTCAATTAATCAGACTCAATTTATTTTTATAATATTATTCGTGATGAACAATAATGAGTTTTCTTTTTATCGTAACACATATTATATTAATTATCGAACTACACAAAATATGTTATTTTGTACTACGAAATTCATTCTTAAAACTATTTTAACGAAATAATATGTCAAGCTACATATTTCGCGCATAATATTTTCACTTGTGACGAGTGAAAGAAACAAAACACTAAGTTATTGTTATTCAAGCACCTACATGAATAGTATTATATATTTACGTATATAATTATAATATAATATTGATGATTAAACTTTTTTTAAACCGTTCTCATTATTTTTAACCCTAATTGAAATCGAAGAAAAAACACTTGATTTTTTCTCCTACATGACTCCGTTTATTTTTGTATCCCACCCCAATTGGTATCATTTTTTTTCGGTTTCGTAGAATTTGTCACCGGCAGACAAATGAGCTCTCTGCTACTAATCCACGTATGTTATATATATATATATATATATTTGTATAACTAAGGAATAATAACGACTGTCCATATAGACTATAGAACATTATATGTACTATATAGTATATACGTATAGGTATATATATGATTTTTCCTAGCCATCGAAACAAACGATGCAGGTTCACAAAACTTTCATCGTCGTTGTTCTCATTAATGAACCACGAAACTATACTACACTAGGGCGAAATAACGTTCTCGCTAGAAGGGTAGGTAGAGGTGGGGTGGACTTCCGGCCAGTTTTTGTACGTCTTCTAAAAATAAACCGTGGTGCACCTTTTTTGTAATTTTTTTTTTATTATCATCTCTACCACTCTTGTCCATATTATAACTTGTTTTTTAATTTGTCACATTTGGTTATTATCATTATCATTTTTTTTTTCTGTATCGTCGTACATATCATTTTTTTTTTTTGTTTTTTCATACATAAAACCTAAAATATACGGTTGCTGGACCGGAGCCACAGAGCGGTGGCAAGACTGTTATTTTCCACCCACGACTTAATGACAGCGTCCGCTGGTGGTAGGAAAAAAAAACAATCGTGGTCGCGAAATAAAGAGAGGAAGTGGCTTGCCGTAGAGCCACACCGAGCACATCTATAGGAGAGAATAATAATGTAAAAAATTAGAAACGAAAAAAACGCGTATTATTTTTGGCCGCTACAAAGGAAACGAGTCATGGTGCGTATGATACTGCCACCGCCACACAATCCCTTCGCCAYCTCCAGCACGGTCATCAACACTGCTTTAGACCCGCCGCCGCGCGACGAGTTCTTCTCCCATTCAATCGGAGCGCGCTCACACTGTATACACACACATACACATACACACTTCTAATACTGCACGTCTTCCGTCATCCATTCATAAAAACATATTATATGATATTAATGATATTATATAAATATTATACTATACGCGTGTAACGAATATTATACATGTATATGATGTATATAATATAATATGTATAGTACAACACGCTCGCACTCGCATCGYACCATCATCGCTGTCGCATTTCCGTTGACAAAACAACACGAAAAAAAAAAAAATAGAAAAATTTCTTCACGCGTTATTATAATAATACGTTCATCCCCTCTCTTCGGTTCTGCACAGCGTTCAGGCTGCAGTATCACCGCACTCATTTGCTATGTATCATTAATGGTCCGTGAATACAAAGCGTTCCGCGTTCGCCCTCTTATTAATTAAGAACGCGCACACAGTGTATAACATAAAGTGCTGCGGTGTATTCGTCGTGTACTCGTGTATGATAATATACGCGTACGTACCGACATTCTATTCGTTCTTCTTGTACATTCGATGGTCCAGAGGAGAGAAATAGAACAAAAAAAAAAACACCGCGACAACGGCTCTTTGTTATAGGTAGATTTTATAATATACAATATATACCCATTTACCTATATGTGCGTGCGTGTGTGTGTGTGTGCGCGCGCGCACGTGATTGCATGTACATCAAACCGTTTGATTTATTTCTCTATTTGTTTATTTATTTATACATCTATATGTATATTTTATTCGCCAAAACCGGATGTTGTTTCTGCATTAGGTATTCCGCGTGTATTTCTCACTGTAGTTGGTATAAACAAACGCGGTCGCAATAATAGAAGTTATAACATATTATATATGTATATTATTATTATTGTTATTATTATTATTATTATTATTATTACTGTATCCATTCGCAAACTATATATTATGATATATGCAGTGACAGCAAGTTTATAAAAGCTGGATTTTATTTTTTTTCAATAATTGATTGCAGTAAAAACAAATGCACATATATATAGTTCTATTTAAAATTAAGTGTTTAGATTGGGGCCAATGATAATTAAATTGGGGTATCTATATTAAAATAGATGACAGCATGAAATTTATTACTAAACTAGCAACTGCCGTGACGTACGAATATACGTAATCTTCAACTATATATTATAAAAGTGATTCCTGTTAAGACATCAAATCTACCTGGATGGTATTTTGATGGGTTAAAATGAGATAAATTTCAATACTTCTGAAAATAATAGGAAAAAAAAGAAGAAAACAGGGATTTTTATGCAAAACCAGATTTGACAAAATCCATTTTGATTTTGATTATTATTCAAACCACATCACAAAATATAGAATGTATAGAGACTTGAATTATTATATTATATTATATGAATTTTGTAGACGTTAATATAAAAATATTTAGGCTTCTTTGTTATATTTATAAGCATTTTAAATGTTCGATAATTTTTTTAATTTTATTAATGTACATCTATAAGTGTGTAAGAAAAAATTCTTGAAAATATTGTATAAGATTCTTCTCAGATTTTTCTTATTGTAATTAAAAAGTACTTGAAACATTATGTAGTMAAAAAATCTTTAATGCTCTAATTTGTACAATGTTTATCGAAATCCCAAAAATTTGCGAATCATTATGTATTTTGAAATAATGCATTCAGTTTTAGATTTTAAAGATTTTAAAATTTAATACAAATTTATAAATGTTTTGACTGTAATAATTGAATAAATAGTTAAACGTGAACTATTGTACATTTTTGGAGTTAAACTTATCACGACATTTAATTTTAATATAATATGTAACGAAGCTAATATATTCATTACGCGAAATAAAGATTTCTCCTTTGATTTTTTACAACCAAAAAATGCAAATAGTAACAACATGAAACATTCAATTATTACTTTCCTACTAGTTTTTGTTTATTTATAAAGGCTGTTGAATTTTTAGTTATTTCAATATTCTATAAATATTGATAACAATTGCTATAATTTGCCAAAAATCTTGAAAATTGAACAYTAAGTTCCACCGATAAAGTTAAATTCAACAAAAAAAGACTATAATTTTTTTTTAAGGTTTCGTCGTCCACGTTATATCAGATTTAAAGTAAAATAAGAAAAAAAAAATGGTTTGTAAAAAGTTTATAATTTCATTCTATATGGTGCAACTGATGCTTTTATGTGGTGGGATGAGCGATCAACTTGCTTAAATTGTAAWTATTTAATTTTTAATTTTTAATTAATTAAAATAACCAATATCTTAAGTATAGTACCCTTTTATAAGTACCTAGTATAGTATATAAAGTTCTTGCTTGGTAGTACATATTTAATAATAATAATAATATTTCTTTATTACGGAAATAAATTCCGATTAAATTTTTTTTTTCCATATAATATGTATATAATATATTGTACACGTACGTTATCAGTAAATAAGTTATATATAACAATAATAATAATAATAAAAATAACTTAAATTTTAAAAAGCAAATAGGTATTACATTAAAATATTCAAATTTATATAGTAAAAAAATACTACTAATTAAATAAAAACGAGATGTTAATATTGTTTCTAGTACCTAATTTGTTATGTATTTCTTAAATTTACCATAAAAGTATTTAAAGAATTACAAAAAAAATGAATATTTTTTATTGAGTTGCCTGTGGATATTAAAATGTGAACGGATTAGTGAGTATAGTATCATATTTTTAAAGCAGATTTATCTCTAAAGTTTCGACGTGTTCGTTTTAAAAAACCTAGCTTTGTCGACGCTTTATTTCTAATATAAAGTATGTGGTCCTTAAAAGATAGTTTGGAGTCAAATTTTACTCCAAAATCGTGTACTGTAGAAACTTTTAATAAATTTATATTACCCAACGAATAATTTAACTGAGTATAGTTTATAGTTAAGAATAAAAGGGTWACTATGCGGTAATTTATTAATGCAGGATCTTTGTATAGTATACTCTCATGACCAGCAGATGATTGATTATAATTATAAGTTATAACTTTTAATATTATTTGGTAGTAGGTACGCCTATAATAATAGTTGATTTCAATAGTTGTACGATTATGAATATATAAATTTAAAACAAATGTTGCATACTTGTTACTTACTATTACTATACCTTATTCTCTTAGCTCAAACAACTATAAATTATTTTTATTTTAATATTTTTTTTAAATTACATAAATTAAAAATAACCATAATTAATCCTTATTTAAAAAAAATTTCAAGTTGAATAATTGATGTAAATTGTAAAACAMAGTAATATTACTTATATAGTAATATGTATAAATTGAACATGTACCAACTTAAATTTTAGAAAACATATTATAAAAACAATTCAAA